AAACTTGCCAAGTTTGAAGAACCCTTGATCGAATCTATCTGTATTAGCCTTTCCAACCAAAGAGCCAATTTCCATTCACTCCCTCTCTTCTGGTTCAAGGTGCCAGTCCCTTCCGCTGCGTGGAGACTCACCGGTCCCGGTAGACTCTGGCCCAGTCATTCCCAAAAAACCTGCCGGTCGGTGGTTGGCTTAAGTCTTTGTCTTCGTACTTGTATTTCCCTGTCAGGAGCCCACCTGTTCAAGGAACATCAGAGTCTTAGGATCGTCCACAAAGTCACTCATTTCCCATCATTCTTTCACCCACCTTGCAATTTTGTGTTTTCTTTTTTTAAAAAAAACCACAATTCCTTCCCACTCCATACCGGCCAGTGGATTGTAAGCGTAGAAGCTCATTCCGAAGTGCCTGAGGCAAGGAAACAGCTCCTTCTCCACCTGCCTTGTGGTCGCATTGTACATGCCCTGGGTTCAAATAGGGAAACAACAACAACAACAACCCCTTGTCAGCTTTGGGAAGCCATATTGAGATCCAAGGCTGCCACAATTGAGCCTGGGAAAGGGGGGGGGGGGTAGGAATTCATTGGAGTATATCTAGTTCGACATAACATTTTTTTTCTGATTCAAGGTCATGTCGTGTTGCACCTAAGTGAGAGGATGTCTCAAGTTGGGGCGGAGGGCCATGCGATGCGGTTATGGGTGCAGTGAGTGGATTTTGTAGTTTTTTTAGTTATTGGAACTTTCAGATTCGGGATTCCCCAGTTGTGCCAGTTACTATCCAAATAAAAGGAATTTTGGGAAAGATCCCTGTCTTGGAGTTATTGGCTGGAATGGAGGTTTGCTGGAAAGCTGACACGCCTTTTCAGACTTCGCTCAAAAGTCTTTCGCCAAAAGCAGCACAAGCAAAGTGGATCGCTCGGAGCTTTTCACAGACGCGGGTTGAAAGTGGCCCCCTGGCTAAAGGCAAAACCAGACCTCGCTCACCTGGTACACCGTCGGCAGCAGCCATTGGTGGGCTTTGCAAAGGGTGCAGATTTCCGCCACCTCCCAAGAGGCGTAGTTGGACAAGCCAAGCGCTTTGAACTTCCCCTGTGGAGTGATAAATCAATCATCCCGTCATTTTAGGCCGGATTTGTAAGGATCTGCACACATGCCATCAAACAAGAGGATTAGGGGACTGGAGGCTAAAATATATAAAGAACAGTTGCAGGAACTGGGCCTGGCTAGTCTAGGGAAGAAAAGGACCAGGGGAGATAGGAGAGCATCTTCCAATATTTGAGGGCTGCCCCAGAGAGGAGGAGGGGGTCAAGCTATTCTCCAAGGCACCTGAAGGCCAGACAAGGAATAGTGGATAGAAACTAATCCAGGAGAGATTTAACCTGGAAACAAGGAGAAACTTTCTGACAGGGAGAACAATCCACCCATGGAAGAGAAGTTGCCTTCAGAAGTTGTGGGAGCTTCATCACTTGAGACTTTCAAGAAGAGACTGGACTGCCATCTGTCAGAAATGGTATAGGGTCTCCCACTTGGGCAGGGGATTGGACTAGATGACCCTTCCAACTCTAATATTCTATTTTATGCTATTCTATTTCTATTCTATTTTTCATAATTGTATTCTATTTTCCATTATTCTATTCCAATTTTCCATTATTTCCATTTCCATTGTTCTATTCTTCATTTTATTGTCTCTCCTCTCCTCTCCTCTCCTCTTTCTCTTCTCTTTCTCTATCTCTATTTCTCTTCCTATTCCCCAATTCTCTCTTTCTCTTTTCTATTGCCCTCGGAATCAAATCCACGGAGTCCTCTGGCTGCGGAACGTGGGGCCTTGTAACCCAACATGTGTGGAGAAAAGAGTGCACTCCCCGCATTCTGCCAGGAACACGGCCACTCTGGGTCAGGCTGGATGGTCTCTGAGGATTCCCTCCAGCTCGCTCTCATGCATTGAGGAGAGGGGCATCTAGCCTGGCGGAGGGGGCGCCCTCTCCTCCACCCTCGGGCAGCCTGGCTGCCCAGTCGCCCAAGGTTTTCCCAACGCCCCCCCACCCGCCAAAATAATCCCCCCACCTCTTTGTGAAGCTCATTGCAAGCCCGCAGCGTTTCTTCCACGGGGGTTTCGTGGTCCGGGGCGTGGAGGTAGAAGAGATCCACGCTCGGCAGCCGTAGACGTTGAAGCGACTCTTCCAGCTGCGAGCGGACGCTCTGGGCCTTCAAGGTTTTGCCATCCCAAGGATTGGCCTTGGTGGCTATTTTAACTGCGGGCAGGAGGTGGGGGCAAAAAAGGAGACACAGAATATTACTTAACATGGAACAGATTTTTTTTTTAATATTTAATTTTATATTTTGCAATCATTCCATTTCATTTCAACCATGTGTCAACTGGGTACATATATCTTGTGCTGACAATTATATTTAATACTTTAAAAAAAAATATTGAATAAACATTAAAAACAGTTGAACACCATGCGACTTCCTTGGCCATCCTTTTGGCCATACAAACTTTAGTATAGAGATACACATAACAGTTAATTTCCCTTTTTCCCTTATTGTTCTGACCCAAGCTTCGTCAAACGTAATTGATGACAAACTTGTTTTAAAAGCAAAACCTATTTTATTGCAACACTGGGAATTGTTTTCATTCCCAGCCAGAACTAATCTCAACATAGTTCCCCAAGATAAGCACACACCTTCCAGTTCTGTGGAATGCTGCCAAAAACAGAAGTATCCAATTAATTATAAAAGAAACCAACCGAAGTACAAGAAAAAAAACCAACCAAAGTACAGAGAGCTTCAAGGAGGACTCGGAACCGATAGAACTACTTTGCTTCCTGCAAAGGTTTTGTCATCTTGGCCTGACTTTTATCCCTTAAGGGAGGGATAATCACCTCCCAGCCTTACTCCAGAGTTGCCCCTTTTGTTTCAGCTGCTCTCGCCTTCTAGCAGCTCTGCGCACACGCGCTCTGGGAACAGGCTCCTCTGGGTCCTCTTCCTCGCTGTTGCCAGACTCTGGAGGCTCCGGAGTCAGCACCCCACTCCCAGATGGTCCAGGCCCCATCCCTGCATTGGACGCAGGACCCTCGTCCGAGTCCTCCCAGACTGGTCCCCGTTCTCCCCCACTGTCCGATTTTGCTGCAGTCTGCACAGGCTATTGGCGAACCACAACACTTATATTATTAGTATAGTGGCAGCTGCATATTATTTCTATTTACATTTATCTACAATTATATACACATTTACAACCGTCTTTTATCCTCATGCATTTGTATCACCTCATATTTGTCCATTATATCTCATTCTCTTTGGTTTACAAAACTTTAACTTTGATTCCTATAATGAGTCAATCCTTTCTTTCTTTTTCCTTGATTCTAGCCATTGAGACATTTTACTTCAGGCTTATCTTTGATTTCTAAAGTTAGTCTGTCCATCTCTGCACAATTATATTTCATACTTTTCTTATCAATGTAATAATAATCACATTTTCTTATAACTCTTATTTAATATCTCTATTTTTAACAATCTTATTACTTTATATATTCATATTCTAGTCCGTTTTAATTTTATTTTCCAAGCATTGATAAAATAAATCACATACCATATAATATTCTGTTTCTTCTGTTTCTTTGATTACCAATGTTAACCTATTCATTTCTGCACATTCAAATATTTTCTCAATTACTTTTCCCTCTATTGGTATCGCTTTTCCAATTCTGAGCAAATACAATTCTAGTTACTGTTAATACATGTATAATTATATATATATATATATATATATATTTTTTTGTAACCTTCAAGTACCATTCCTAATAAAAAATATTTCAGGTTTCAAATCTATATGTTGTTTTATCATTTTTTCCAACTGTGTGTATTTTTGTCCAGTATCTTTTAGCCACCACATATGGTAGTATGTTCCTGATGTTAATCAGCATTGGGCTGATTTATCTTTGAACATCTTAGCTAATTTTGCTGGTGCAAAGTGCCACCTATAAAACATCGTGTACAGGTTTTCTTTATATGCTATCAGTATTCTTAGTTTATAATTCCTATACCATAGCTTCTGCCATTTATCCAATTCTATAGCACAGGGGTCGCCAACCTTTGGGACCTCAGGGACCACCAAACTCATAATTTTAGATCCCAGGGACCACTAACAGGTTCTGTGGGTATGGCCTAGTTTGTGGATGTGGCTTGGTGGTCATGTGACTGGCTGGGCATGGCTTGTATGTAAATATTATAAATATTTATATAAATATTGATTCTTTTATAAAAAAAGAACAACTTTTACCCAAAATCAGGCAAAGCAGGCAGGCAGATTGAGCTGCTCACAGAATCACATTCAGAAATCTATCTGCCATTGGCTAGCTCAGTCTGTCACATAAAATTTGCTTGCAAGCAAACTCATAAAATTTGCTAGCAAGCAAACTCACAAAATTAACTCACAACACACCATGTATGTAAATATTGAATTTTTTTTAATAAAAAAAGCAATTTTTACCCCAAAGCAGGCAAAGCAGGCAGATTGACTTGCTCACAGAATCAGTGATCTATCTATCTGCCATCGGCTAATTCAGTCTCTCAAATTTGCTTGCCATGAGTCTGCACTGATTTTGCTTGCAAGCAAACCTTCAGTCCTAAGGGAAGCAGAGCCGAAGATCTAAAGACTAGCTAGCGAGCAAGAAATCCAACCATTTTCTGCTTCCTAGCTAATCTAAATCTCCCGGCACAGCAGAACAGCTGATGGTCGGAAAAAAGGAAAAATAGCAATTTTAGCAGGCAACTTTGCCAGATAAGGCATGAGTGGGCGGGGAGCGTTCCTGCGGGCCATGTGGGGCGGTGCAGCCTTGTGTTTCTGTGCAGCCTGGATTAATTGCTTTGGGAAATTTCTCTGTGGCCTACGAAAATTTTCTCACGGCCCACCGGTTAGCAACCACTGCTATAGCATATCCAAAATTTTTTGCTCATGCTGTCATTGTTTCTTTAACTTGTTCTTCTTCCAGTTTAACACCTAGTAAATAACAATATAATTTTTTAATCAACTTATGGAACAGATTTTACAAGTGGTTAGAGATAAAGAGGTACAAATTAGGTGAAGAAAGATAGCTGCTAGGTATGAATTAAATACGAAGAGGGTTGATAATTATAAACACGTTGATATAATTAACAGAATCATAAATAAGCTAAATACAAAGAGAAATTTAGTTAAAATTATTTTGTTGCACTATTATTGTTACTAGTATATGTTGAGGTTTCTTTTTGTTTTTCTGTTGCTTTCTTGTAAGTGATATGTTCTCTGACAATACATGGTATTCAAAATGTTTATGAATAAAAATAAAACATATACAGGAAAAAAAAGGGAAGGGGGAAAAAGGAGGACGAGACGGGCAAAACTCGAGAAATGAAAGAAGGAAAATGCTTCCAAACAACCCCAAGGACTCTTCTGTTCTATTCGGGCTTTTCTTCATACAATTTGGAAACTTCTGCCTTCTCCAGTAGGTCGATGGAACCTCCATGCTTAAGAGCAGCGTATCAGGTTAGTCTCTCTCTCTCTCTCTCCCTCTTCACAGCAGGGTAACAGCTTCCTAACCTGGTAAAATTCTTGATCAAGAGCCACTAACACATGCCAAGCGAGCCCCGGGGGCTCTGTCCCAAGATGCCAAGGCGATATCTGGGCATGGCTAGAGTGCTCCCCCAAACTCAGCCACCCCAAACGACTTGCATGCATTCAGGTTTTGCTAAAAAAAACCAACAACAACCCCAAACCCCGCTTTCCTGGGGCCAGCAACCTTTCTAAGTTCCTAAGAGGAAGTGTTTGGTTGTTATTTTCCTGGAAAAGTCTAAATCACCCCTTTTTTTATTTTTTAAAGCACCCAAGCTGATTTTAAGTTTCCTAAACAAGGATTTGGGGTTTGGCTGCTGCCTTAGATTTTATTTCTGCTTCTCCAGAAACAACCTTAAATTCCAGGCCAACAGGATCAACTTCAACACCCCCGCACCACTCACCGTGGATTAAATAAATGATTACACCGGGCTGGTTGCTGAATAACCAGATTTCCCCGGAAGGGAGGACAAGGCAGTTGGGGTACATGGGCCTGATGGGCCCTTGCCTGGGGCCCCCACAAACACAGGGGCCCCATCCTAATCCCTGTAGGTTGACCCTTCAATGCACCTCGTAATCCTATAAAGACAGCAACCCACTGATGACGTTTGACTGCATTTTTTAAATTAATACTAACGTGCAAAGATATGTTGAATTTGATCGATCTGCTGCTTTGCCTGGAGCCCAGAAATGCTGTTTAGAATACATGGCCCTGAGTTGGGGAGGGGGCAATCAACAGAGGGGGGGGTGTTTGATTTGGACAGCCTCGGGGTCCAGGGGAAGAGCTGCACCCCAAGTTTTAAATGCCCACCCCATAACTAGCCAAGTCACTTATCTGAAATGGTATATAGGTTCTCCTGCTTGAGCAGGGGGGTGGACTAGAAGACCTCTAAAGTCCCTTCCAGCTCATTCTATTCTTTTCCATTTCTATTCCTATTCTATATTCTATTCTATATTGTATATTCTAGTCTATGTTCTATATTCTATTCTTTTTCTTTTCTGTTCTTCTATTCTATTCTATTCTCTATATT